AAGAGAGGCCTCACTGGCACCTCCTGACACGGACAGCTGGAATTCTGTGACCAAGTATCCTAATGAAAAAGCCATTATCATTTGTACCAAGTGCTCCTGGGCTTTTGTCCCTGCACTGAGGTCAAGAGTATGCTGGAACGTCTCTAGAAAGGACAGAGGCTCCTGGCTCAAGAGCTAAAGAGTCACAACCTTGACATGCCATGGCCACTGACACAGATAGGCTGGTGCTTGGGCTAAGGTCCACTATGGAGGGAGCAGAATCCCGCGGGAATGGCCTTTTGGAGAAGAACACGAACTAGAACAAGTGTAGGGAGGGGAGCGGCTGGCCTGAGTGTGGGCCATGGGAGTGTGCAGTAAGGTGAACTTGGAGCACTTAATGAGCACACAGCTCCCAGCACAGCCAGAACCCACCCTCTGCTGACATTCCAAGAAAAGGCTTAGGGGCACGCACAGCAAAAATTACAGTCATGAAGATGGAAAAGAACACATGCTCAATTTAAGCAAGCCTGGGATGCCAAGGCTCCGCTTCCCCGAAGAGTGGCATTTTCAAAGCCCACACATCATAACAGCTTTGAATTCTGAGACGCCTGAACAGGAAGCCCCCGAGGTTCCATCTGTCTCCCTGACTAGAGAGACAGCTGAGGAGCCATGCTGCTGTCTGGAAGCGGCTGGCAGAGATCTCAGGAACCTTGGCCCGGGAGCGAGGAATGTGCAGTTCATTCTTCCCTCCAGTCTAATTTGTAGCCCTGACAAAAGCTGTTGGCTTGTTACCAGGCCTGTCTCTGTAGGTAACTAGAAATGAACTACCAAATAGAACTGGCTCCCTTCCTAAATTTGTTTTTATTCCTAAATTTTAAAAAATCATAGAATTCATCATATGGTATTAAATAAATCCAATACTTCCTTTGTTCTACATGTCACCTGACTGACAAAATTACAAAGGAAATACTGCTAGATGAATGTGCAAGTCAATAGAAGAGATGAAGAGGAGACACCAAAGTGGAGAGTAATGAGCTGAAGCCATGATTCCGAGTTCCACAGGGTTCATAAGCCCTAAGGAGCTCCAGATGTTGACTGGATAAAAGCATTCTAGCACTCAAGGGCCTTCCAACCATTCTCAGAATCTGCCCTTTCCCAGCTTGCTATCTTAGTCCTCTGCTCTGCAATATTTTCTTCCAGGGACTCAGACTGTGCAGTAATCTCTGCAGATACTACTCATGTTCTCAGCACTATACTTTAGCTACTTACTTCTCTGGGCTCCACATTTCTTTTTATATCAATCCTACTCTTTCTTCAAGGTTCTACCTACCACATGTTCATCTCAAATGGGGTAGGAATAGCATTTGACAAAACCCAACACCCTTTCAGGGTAAAAACTATAATTTGAAGGGAAGTTCCTTAACACAATAAAGAAGAACCCACAGCTAACATCATGATGGTAAAATACTGAAAGCTTTCCCCCTAAGATCATCACTAAGATAAGGATGTCTGCATTCGCCATTGCTATTGAACACTTTACTGGAAGTTCTATCTAGAGCAATTAGGCAAGAAAATAAACAAAAGGCATCTCTGTTCACAGATGAAATGATTCTACTAGTATATATAGAAAATCCCAAAGTTAATAAAATTAATTCAGCTAAGTAGCAAGGTACAAGACCAACACATAAAGGTCAGTTGTGTTTCTATATATCAGCAATGCTCCATCCAGAAAGGAAATTGAGAAAACTATTCATTTACAATGGCATCCAAAAGGATACAATACCTAGGAAATAATTTAGCCAAAGAGGTCAAAGATTTGTACACTGAAAACTGTAAAACTAAAGACCCAAATAAAAAAAAAATCCATATTCATGATTGGAAGACTCAATATGGTTAAGATGTAGACACTACCCAAAATGATCTACAGATTTAATGCAATCCTATCAAAATTCCAATGGCCTTTTGGCAGAAATGGAAATGCCAACCCTCAAATTTGTATGGAATTATAAGGGTCTCTAAAGACCCAAACCAATCTTGAAAAAGAAAAGTTAGCTCACGCTTCCTGATTTCAATGCTTACTACAAAACTGCGGTAATTAAAACTGTGTGGTCCTGGCATAAGAACAGACATAGGGTGAATAGAATCAAGGGCCCAGAAATAAATATCTATGGCCAATTGATTTAGATCAGGGTTCACAGACCATTCAACAAGGAAAGGCTTCAGCAAATGGTGCTGGGACAACTAGAATGCCACATGCAAAAGAATAAATTTGGACCCCAACCTCATACCATGTACAAAAATTACCTCAATATGGATTAACAGCCTAAATGTAAGAGCTGAAACCATAAAACCCTTAGAAGAAAACACAGAGATATCCTCATGACCCTGGATTTGGCAATGGATTCATAGATATGATACTAGGAAAATGAACAGTAAAATAAAAGATAAATTGAACTTCATAGAAATTAAAAACTTTGTGCAATGAAAAATATAACCTATACAATGGGGGAAATTTGAAAATTATATATCTGATAAGGGTCTAGTATCCAGAATATATAAATAATTTTTAGAAATCACCAATAAAAGTACAAACAATCCAATTTAAAAATAGGTAAAGTGCTTGAGTAGGCATTTCTTCAGAGAAGATATATGAACACATGAAAATACATTAAAAGAATGCTCAATATCGGTAGTCAAAATAGGAAAATGCACATCAAAACCACTTTATATCCACTAGGGTGGCTCTAAAAAAAAAAAAAGAAACAGAAAATGGAAAATAGCCAAGTGTTGGAGAGGATCTGGAGAAAATAGAATCCTCATATACTGCTGGTTGGAATTAAAAATGGTTCAGTAACTATGAATTTGCCAATTCTTCAAAAAGTTAAATATAAAATTACCATATGACCCTGCCATTCTACTCCTAGGTATATACCCAAAGGAAATGAAACAGGTACTTAGATAAGCACATGTACACAGGTGTTCCTAACAGCCCTATTTAGAATAGTCAAAAGGTAGAAATGGCCCAAATGCCCATCGGTGGATGTACGGATAAACCAATGGTATATACATACATTAGAATATTATTCAGTCAGAAAAAGGAAGGAAGCAATGATACATGCTATAATCTGGACGAACCTACAAAACATTGTGCTAAGTAAAGAAAGCTAGACAAATAGGTCACATATAGCGTGCTTCCATTTATATGAAACTAGAGGCCCGATGCAGGAAGATTCATGCAATAATAGGCCTTCCTTCCTCTGCCTGCTGGCACTGGCTTCCCTCCAGCCCCCGGGACCCGGGCCTTCACTCTGGCCACTGCCTTCCGCCTTCGCTCCGGCCCTGCCGCCCTCCTATAGCTCTCTCCACCCCCTCATAGCAGGTGTCCCGCCCCCCGCCCCACCCTGGCTCCTCCGTGCCTGCGCGCACGCTGCCCAGAAGCCTCAAGTGGCGCAGAACACCTGCATTGTCACCATGGCGACGACGCAAGCATCCCAGCCAGGCCGCCGCCATCTTTGTCACATCAATTTGCATATTCCCTCCTTATTGGCTGTGGGTGCCGCCATCTTTTGTCATGGTGTGATGGCCAATTTGCATATTCTGTCTTTATTAGATAGGATATTCAGAACAAATAAGTCTTTAGAGACAGAACACAGATGAGGGTGGCAGAGCTAGCAGGAAGGGGAGAATAAACAGACAGCGAGAGATGGAAATATTTTGGAACTAGAAGGAGGTAGTGGTTGCATGACCTTATGGATATACTAAATGCCACTGACTTATTTACTGATTTTATGTTATGTGAATTTCACTTCAATAAACTATTATTTAAAAAAAGAAATACATTTCCCATTTTCTAAAATCTTTTATCACAAACTAATGGTTTAGACCAGGGGTGGGCAAACTTTTTGACTCGAGGGCCACAATGGGTTCTTAAACTGGACCGGAGGGCTGGAACAAAAGCATGGATGGAGTGTTTGTGTGAACTAATATAAATTCAAAGTAAACATCATTACATAAAAGGGTACGGTCTTTTTTTTTTTAGTTTTATTCATTTCAAACAGGCCGGATCCGGCCCGCGGGCTGTAGTTTGCCCACGGCTGGTTTAGACTCTTTCATTACTGCTGAATATAGTTAATTTTATTTACAGTTTATTTGTTTTTACACAGAAACTCCTTGAGGGCAAGGCCTGCAACTTTCACCTATTCCTGTCCCTGGACATCTAGCCCCACTAGCTTATCCCCAGCACGTACCCAAAAAAGTTGTTCAAGTGATTCTGACATGAACTCACTGTATTTTACTTTCCTTACCTAAAAGCTTTCTGGAGTAGAAAGCTTAAGCCTATTTTTAAAATCCAATATATCAGAAAGTCCTATCCTGTTTGTCAAATAAGAATCCTTAAGCGGAGCCTCTCTCGGTTGTCGTGATACTGAGTTACAAACATGAGGCACAGCTGAATTCAGTGGTTGGAAGCCGAGTCCCCAGAGCTGACTGTGGGGGTTGGAAACTTTTCTCAATATTCAGAAAGGCTGAAAAAGAACCTCATATCCCTCCACCAAAGCTGCAGAGGCCAAAAAACACCAAGTGGCTTTCCTTTGGCAGAAAAGATGTCATCATAGTCATTTTATGCTAATGACTATATGGATGTGAGTAGTGAAATGAAAATTAAATGATAAATTTTACATAACAAATGTGGGTCAGTGGATAATACAGTACAAAACAGGGAGTCTAAGGAGCAGATGGCAACAGAAGAGACTCGTACAGGAAGATGGTTTAGACCAACGGCACCTTCATAGTTTTTTCAAGGAATAGTTTGATGCCAGGGCATCTAAATCTATGAATTACAGGTTGCTGAACTAGCTATGCATCTTTTTCAGAAAGAAAAATCTCAAAGGGAGAATCAGAGGTTGCACAAAACTCTGAGAAAATGTCACAAGTTACCTTCTACTATCCCCTAAGTCCCCAGATCCTCCCCGCTCCACGTTAGAAGTGCTATTTCCAAGGCCATTTTCTTTGGAAGAACAAACCTGTACAGAGCCGGGTCTGAAGGTTGTTCTGAATTTTCCCTTCCACCATAACCAGCTCCCCAACACTCATGCGGAGGCAGACAGGTAGCTCAGCTCCTGAGGCTGTTCCAGAAGCCAGTGTCCTGTGGGCGTGCTGAGGAAAGGGGTCCGTAACAAGTCAGGAAGACAGCACTGGGAACACAAAGGGCTCTGTTTAGGAACCCGCCAATGTCCCTGTTATCCCAAGAACTAAGCACGGAGCCGTGCATTTCATGCCCACTGCCACCTGTGATTATGTTTTTCTAGCTATTACCCAGCATTTTGATGATGAGATTGTTAACAGCCTCAACGCACCTGCTAATGTGACTTGAGGATGATGCCGCCTCACTGCTTATCCCAGTAAGCGTTCATTTACTTTATGCCAAGGGAGGGAAGCCCAGCCTGGCTCAAAGGAACCACTTACAGTACAATCTCAGGAGTGACTGTAGTCCCATGGTTCAAGTAAAGTAGAGAGAGAAGGCATGGAGCACACCACTCCTGGAGGTAAACCATAGAAAGGGGCCTGGCTAGCGGGCCTGAGTCAGAGGTCACTGGGGAAGGAATTACAAAAAGTAGAACTGAAAAAAGTGGTGGTGTGTGTGTGTGTGTGTGTGTGTACAGGTGTGGAAAGGGACACTCATGGAGTAAGGGAAGGACAAAAACTGGTGGAGCAGAGATTAGGAGGCTGAGGAGCGGAAGATGAACTGCAGAACAATGGTGGTGGCCCCGGAGAAGAGGAGATAGGCTGGGAGTGGGTAAAGGCACAGGGAAGGCCAGGGGACAGCAGGGCTGCAATCAGATCCCTCTGGGGATGGGTGGAGAGGCAATCAGGAAGCCTTGGGGAGCAGACAGCAGCGGGAGGAGCCTCCCAGGAAGGCCCCTTTTAGGGACAGAGGAGTTCATTGCGAGGGCTGATTGCCTCTCCAGGCTCAGCCTGCTGTGCCAACTTGAGGCTCCCATCTCCAACTCCCCCACCCCCCGCAGGCAGAAATCAGAAAGAGTGGCTGAGGAATTGGTGACTAAATGCATCAAACACAAAACATGTGTGACATGATTTGAGTCTCCAGCGGAGATGCAGAACGGAGGCCCAGGTGGAGGTAGATGCAGGCAGATGTCTGGTGCTGATGGGCAGAGGCGGGGTGCCTTCCTCCTGACGGGACTCACTCCTGCCGCATTGAAGGCCTGCCATCTTTACCTACGCCCTTTCTCAGGGGGGTCTGACGGTTCTCTGAATGGGTCTACAGGTCACGTGCAAGGTCAAACAGTTTCCTTGCAGAGCTGGGCCTGACACCCAGGACTCTGAGTCCTAGTCTAATTTTTCAGAATCTAATTGGAATGAGAGTGGGGTGACAGAGTTCTGCACTAACGTTGAGCCACATAAAATATTTTCTCACTCTACTTTCGGAATACAGTGGGGCCTTGACTTACGAGTTTAATTCGTTCCGTGATGGAGCTTGTAACTCAAATTACTCATATGTCAAATCATAAAGTGAACAAGTGAGACACGTGATGCTAGGCTGATGTTGTGGCATTCACTGTGATGTTCGCTGCACCAACTAGCGGTGGGGTATCTGAAGCTGGCTCGTAACCCGAATTTTAGCTCGCAACTCAAAGCAAAAAATCGGCCGAGAGATGGCACGTATCTCGAAAAACTCGTTAGTCGGGACACTCGTAAGTCAAGGCCCCACTGTATAACCTCCACAATACGATTTGGTACAGCTTTACATTTGTCATCTGAGTTAGGGAAATAGTAGATATGGTGAGGGCACTTCTGAGACCCCGTGGGCAGAGTGAAGATGGGAGGCATAATAGACCCCACCACCATTTGGAATTCCCGTGTGGTTGAGAAGAGTGGACTCAAAAGGACCTTTTTATGTGAGAAAAATCTGTTAAATACATTTATTTGACTCCAACATATAAAACAGATACAAGTGAAGCTGCTCTGGGTGACCAGCAGTGAGGAGAGGGGACCCTCACCTGTTCCTGTCCCACCTTCCCTCCCCTCTCCCCATCAGCCCTGGGTGATAGGGACCCCACATGTCCATGTCCCACTGTCCCTCCCCTCTCCCCCATCAGCCCCTGGGTGATAGGGACCCCACATGTCCATGTCCCACTGTCCCTCCCCTCTCCCCATCAGCCCTGGGTGATAGGGACCCCACATGTCCATGTCCCACCGTCCCTCCCCTCTCCCCCATCAGCCCCTGGGTGATTAGCATGAGAACAGGGGACCCTCACTTGTTTCTGTCCCACCTTTCCTCCCCTCACCCCCATCAGACCTTGGATGACCAGCAGTGAGAACAGGGAACCCTCACCTGTTCCTGTCCCACCTTCCCTCCCTCTCCCTCATTAGCCCCTTAACACTAGAATGGGGCAAAATTCAGTAATGGGGGAAGAGACAGGGGCCTGGAGTGATCTCTCTTGAACTGTGTGGGGTTTCCTCCCCCTGCCTTTTCCTCCTGGTTAAAATGAGAGGCTGAGCTTGAGTGGATTTTAAGATCCTTGTTACTCTAGGATTCTCAACTCTCCTTACAAACTTTTACTTACACAACATGCAGTAACTACGAAAAAAAAAATATACATGAGTCAAAAAATAAACTGGGTCATTTAAGTCCTTGGACATGGCCATTTTCTAGCTTTTCCTCAGGAAGTGTTTCTCACTTATTATCATTCTAGTGATCATTATCATTATCATCTCTAGAGAGCTTGCGGGAAAGTTGCAATGCCAGGATCTGACTTTCTTCTTCCTTTTCCTAAACCTGGAAATTTTCACAGGCAGGATCAGGGAGATCTGCAGGAGACTAGACTTCATCTTTTTTCAATAAATACAAAAATATTTTCAGTGACAGCCTCATCAGATATTTGTTCACAAATTTTAATTTAGCCAGCATATTTTGTAGTACTGATTAAAAACATTCCTAAAATTACCCAACACCCTCATCTGCCCAGTCAACACACGGTTTCTGCCACACTTGATTCCACTCAGAAGCCAACACTTTTCATCATTTTTCAAAATGTCCTGGCTAGTTTTCATAATGTTCACATCCACTCTCGCCACCACTTTCAGATGGGTCATAACCGAGGAAGCCAAGGCCTCTCCCCTTGGCCACTGGCCAAATCGAGATATCAACAACTAGCTCCTCATTTGTTCGGGCGGGTGGGGAGGAGAAAGCCTGTCTTCGTTCCTATCCCTCCCACGGTACACGCCATAACTGTGCAATTTCCCACTCTGTAGCACATTGCCTCCCTTATGTTTCCAGCTAGAAATGGTGGCGGAGTAAGAGACTCGGTGTTCATTTTATTGAATCACCTATATTTAATTGGGGAAACGGGTAGTTGTAACTCTGTCAACAGGGCATGTTCAATTACATCGTGGAACCATTTTTCTTCAGCAGGCATTACCATCTGGTCTAAGCAGCTAAATAAGCACAGCTACGTGATATTATAGCTAATTGAATTAAATGTGGCACAAATATATACATGGCACACAGAACTCACATTTATCTCTTTGAAAGGATTTTCCTTGTTGAAACATAAGATATGTGGGTTGTGAGACCAGGATGGTGGCATGGTTGGCTGGCTTTACTGCTTTCCAAACAACAAAAGTAATTATTCACTCTACATCTAGGTCAAACAGAAGACTTTCCTATTTAGAACCTCAAAAGTCCCCCTTTCAACTGGCCTGTATAACCTTCTAGAACCCCTTTCCCCTCTGAGGGCCTGCTTCCTCCATTTACCCTGGGGTCATCCACACCTCTGGCCATCAAACCTCACCATGAATCCAGGTTCGTCTTTATCCTCTCTCCAACCCCTTTAAACCTCCCATTCCACTTCACAGACATAAAGACCCTGGTGCAGAATAGACACCCGATGAGCCGTGTTTCTTTCCAGTGTCTATTTTCCTTCCATTATCTTTCCTGGCCCAGCCTCTGGGTTGGGTTGTGGACTGGCCCCACTGGAAAACCGAGGTCTGCTCATTTCTGAGCCAAGGCTAACAGAACAAGCTATCTCAACTCTACCGTCACGGATGCACAGATACCTGCTGTTTTTGTGACCTCATCCTTTCAACTTTCTTGGTAGAAGAGGACCCCAACTTTCCTTTGGGAAATGTCCTTGCTCCCACTTTCAATTTCTTTGGGATTAACTCCAACTCCATTTCCAGGCTGGCTCTGATTGGTTTACGCCAGGAAGAGGAAAGGGTGATAGATGCTGCTGGAAGGCGCTTATGTGGGACCTGAGTTTGGAATCAAATCTGAGGAAGACAGTACATGTAAGTACTTAGACAGGAAGGGCCTTGTGCAATATAATGTGAACAGTGGACAAAAGTGGAACTAGCATTCAGCATGACCTTCCCCTTCACCGTCTCCCATGAAGCTTACTGTTACGAGGTCCCCTAAAAGGGTGTTCCAGTGTCTGCCTGAGTTTGCTCTCTCCTTTGAGCACAGTGCCTCAGTCTGCCTGGGTGTGTGAAGCAGGCCAGTGTCCACAGTGAATGTCTTGTTGGGGATGGAACAGTCTGCCTGCATGGACTCATCTAATAATCACCTACCCCTGCCTAAGTACTGTACCTACAGGGAGCGCATTGCACTGTGTGCAGCCTGTGTTAGCAGATGTGCCCGGAAGCTTCCAGTTTGGGATTTCAGAAATGTTAATGGTGCTTAACATTTATTGTGCGCTCAGCATTCTAAGTGTTTTAAATATACCCACCAACCCAATTAGTCCTTTTAATGATCCTATGAATTAGATTCTATTGCACCCTTTTCAGAGATAAAGAAACGGAGGCACTGAGAGGGTAAGCAACCTAGCTAATGTCTTCCAACAAAAACAATTAGCAGTGGTGGGAGTCAAACCCAGTGAGCCTGACTCTAGAGCCACACCCTTCTGCCACTACATTAGACTGCCTCTCTCAACAAAATGGCCTAATCTCTTTGGCTTGGCTCTCTTAGAAAACTTTTGACGCTTTTTCACTTGTTTTATTCTAATTTACTTTAAATAGACACTCACCAGTAGAAAGGGCCACAAGACAGAAACAAGAAATCATTTGACTTCCAGTAGGCATTCAATAGCATCTCCAAAACCTTTCTGTGAGGACTCTCTACCTAGATGAAAGGCTAACAG